AAGGTGTTTCCATATTTTTGTCCAACCCCTGTATATCTTCTGTTTATATTTGCTTTCATGCATTTAAACTTTTGCATTATTGCTTGCTTTCATATTCAGTAAAGTGTGTCTGTTTTCCATGAAAATGCCAAAGTCTCTAACTGAGCATGATATACATAGTAATTCATATAAAATTTCAAAAATGAAATTAGGGACAAAGAAAAAGCCCTTCTGCAGCTATATATATATATAGCCATAAAATTATTGTTAGAATTAGTTTCATAAGTCCATTTACTACGCAGACGAAAAAATTTTGCTTCCAGCTCCATTCTAATGGCAGTTTATCTCATGATAATTTAACAGATTATGCCTATAGACATTTACATAATAAATGTAATATTTTTTCAGAATGCTGTACAATCCAGTTGGCCGACTGGCAGACAGATGTTTGTTCCATCATGGCAACAGCTTCCATCCCAAAGAACCATTCAACAACCCTTGTTATCAGATTCTGAATCATGGAGTAGATCATTGGTTCTTGAAAGAGCTACTCTTCTGCCTGACCAGCCTGCAATCATTCCTGTTGTAAGCTCATATTACATTTTAATCATTAAAAAATAGCACTTTTATTTTATTAAATAAATCATTTGAAAATATGTGAAAGTAAGTTTCAGTAATCAGTTTAATTATTAAGTGCCATTTACATGTGTATTTTTTTAATCTGTTTACGTGTGTGCCTTATTTGTCTTACGTACGAAACGAGCAAATAATAAGCATGCTAGATTTTTTGTTATTTTATTTTTATAAAGGTTTTTTTGGCGTGGGGGGGAGAAGGGGGGGAGATAGTAAAATCAGTAAATCTAATTAAAACATTAAAGTTGGCATGCTAAATTTACCACATTTTTATTAAGAAAAAATTTACCAGCCTATTAAAAAAAGGGTGGGGAATTAAAGCATATTTTTAATATTGGAAATGAATTATTAAAAGTAATGTGATAATGTTTTATCATGAACTCAAATGTAACTTTTTTTTTTTTTTTTTTAAGATTATTCTTCTGTTCGTGTTCAAGTTTTTTGTGCTAATTACTGTTTGTATTTTTAGGAACTTCATGAATCTGCTGTGTATGAGCATTTGCGAGATCGCAGTGCACATTTAAATCCTCTGTTACCACAGCAAGCTGCTGCTCTTGCTGCTCCAAATTTACAGCAGTCTTGGGGTGTAGTAACTGCAAATTCAAATTCATCACACTGTGCATTGATACCAACAAGGCAGTCTCAGTCATCTAGCAAGTTATTAGGTGGTGCAATAAATGTTAATACATCTTCAAAACGCCAGACGAAATTAAGGTTTGTCTTAATCTGTGTATAATCTTATGTATGTAAATCTTAATCTATGTATATAATAGATTAAGATTTCTCCTCCCCCTTTCCCTTTTTCCAAGGATGGGTATATGTATGTAATATGATAATATCAACAGTTGCAGTTACAAATGGTAAAAAATATTAAATTTTCAACTGTGATGAGGAATAATAATGCCGTCTGTTTTTTTATGTGTATAATATTTTTATAAGGTGCATATGTAAACTTCATTTTTCTTCTTTCTTTTCTGTTCTTATTTTTTTGTAGAATAATAATCTACAGTTGTTATGAATATATCAGAATGCACTAAAAGGTGGTCATAAAATAATCCCCCCTTTTTTAATTTAGTATTTTATTTTATTTTAATATATCATTTATTAACTGTGTTGTTGTAAGTTAAATGAATTTCATTTCCATCCAAGATACTTATTTTAGTTGTCATGTTATAGGCCTGGTAAAGAGAAGGACATAAGTAATTGCCAACTGTCTCCAGTTAAGAAAAGGGTAAAAGAAAGTTCTCCTCCAAAATGGGAAAATTCGCAAAGTCAGCAAATCGTTCATAATTTGCAGTCTTCTCAGACTTGTTGCCCACCTGTAAGTAATTGGGAGATTTCTCGATCAAGTAAAACACAAGAAAGGTTTGTATTCCCAAATCTCATTATTTCTTATTATTCATTTTTGTCTCATTCTCTTGCCTTTTAATATCTGCGTAACAAATGTAACAGTAGTTTCACATGTATATCTTTTAGCAGGTCAAAATTAATTGTACCAGTGTCTGAGAAAGAACATCAGCGGCCTACTATTATAATTCACGACACTCCGAGTCCAGTTGTTAGTGTCATTACAATTAGCTCAGACTCAGATGAAGAAGTGGAATCTTCAATATGGTAAAATATTTACTTTTATGTTTTATGCTCTTTAAATGATTACATTAATTTTATATTATAAATTGAAATAAGTGCTCCTTTTCCTTTTAAATCCCTAGGATACTCTTAAAAGAAAAACCTTAAATGTGTACAGTGTGGCATGGCAGATTTTATGGCAAATAGTACAAGATAATTTAATTTTTAATTAATAATAATTTTTAATATCTTTAATAGTACAAGGATAATTTTGTATTGTCCATGCATTTATTATCAGAAATCAAGAAAACCATTATTTGATCTGTGTGTGAAATTCTTACGAATGCTGAATTGGAATGGAACAAAAAATATTATTAGAGCCTTCAACCGTGTGCAAACTTTGTCAATTCTTAGTGTATGTATTAGGTTAATAATATGATTTATGTCTTTAATTTACTGCATTTTGAGTAGTCATGCATTCAGTTCACCCCAAGAAAGTAACGAAAATTGTACAGTTATAATATACACTCATGGAAAAAAAATTAGCGCACCAAGAAGGAGTCGTCAAAATGAAAAGAAATTTTACATACGTAATGTCTACTTTGATGTAAGTAAATGATAAGAAAATAAAAGAAAAAGGATAATTTATTTCAGAGAAAAAGGCAAAAGAACGGAGAGACCCCCTCTAGTGTGAATGCATGATGCGATACGATTGGGCATTGAGTCATACAAGTTCTGTATGATGTCTTGAGACATTACGTTCCATATTTGCCTCTAATTCATTCAAACTTGTGGGATGCCCAACTCGTCGTCGGAGACAGTCTTGTGACACCCTTGCTGCATGAGGCCGAACGTTGTCTTTTTGAAAAATGGCTCCTGGGAGCCATTGCATGAGTGGTTGCAGGATTTCATGAACATACCGCTGGTGTATGGACAGCAAAGGCAGGATTGAGGCGTTACCCACGAGCTCTCCACACACGAACACGATGTCATCACTGCGAGAGTGAATCTGGATCGTCGCTAAAACGACTGTTCATTCTGCTGCAGTCCCAGTTTTCTCGTGCTCGAACACTACAAACGGGGCATCGATGGTGGCATCAAGGCAGCACACATATGGGCGCTGCGATACCAACTCTCCTCAGCCAGTGCCTTCGTATGTTCGAAAAGACACAGGGGCCCCTAGTGAAATGCACCTGTGCCTGTGGTGGCCGATGAAGCAATTGGGTACGCATGCATTTCTTATGCGTGGCATCTTCTCGACGATGGTTGCGAGGGTGTCCTGAGCCTGGTCTTCGTGTACTTGACACTCTCGGTCCACTTCCCACACTCCTCACAACACAATCATAGAGCCTAATTGATGAGCTCGCCTAGCTGACCACCCAGCTCCATAATTCGACGATTCTCCCTCTCAATTGCGACAACTGCCCATATGTTTTGAACATGGCGTAATGTCATGTTACTCAGCTCTCCTTTGTAATGATTCAGCACACTTAAACAGGCTTGGTTACCGTTTACGCACATGTACGACGTCAATGCCCTCTCCCGGCTATACGTAAGCGCAACACTCTGCATTTCTAATCATTGCATACTCCCCGACGTGTACCTTCATGCAAGTTTTTGTTACGACCCCGCAATTATCTGGTGCGCTAATTTTTTGTCATGGTATAAAAAAATGGAATTCATGCATATCAGCATGTACCGGGTGAATCTGAATGACAGGGCAACTTGAGGGAGTGATAGAAGGCAGGTATACGAGCAGTATTCGTCATAGAATGTACAGTCGGATGCAAGCGATGAGAGTTAAAGGGTAGTTTTCTACTGTCACATTTAAAGAATTAACACAAGAATGAAAGGAGGTACTTTAGAAAACATATTATTAACAGAACATGCTCATAGAAATTGCTCAAAAGACCTTCCGCCAGCTGTAATGTAGGCTTCACACCTACGTTACAGCTGGCTTCTACCTTCTAAGTGTATTTATTATTTGTAGGGATAGGGATTGACGCACATTTACGAAGACACCAGGTATTTCCTGAATATTGTCGGCAACAGTCGTGATCCTGGCGACTAAATCCATATTGGTTTTGGTGGGGCACTTGTAGAGTAGGCTTTTCATATGTTTCCCCAGGAAAAAGTCCAAACAGGAGAGATCCGGTGATCTTGGTGGCAAAGCTATGGGACCACCTTGACCAGTGAGAGGACCGACTCTTTTTATACAAGGTTGCCCCACTACCGAGGAGAAGTCAGGAAATTCAACGGGGAGAAAGAAGCGATTTCTTCTTCTTCTTTTTTTTTTTTTCGCCAATGCTAGAAGCAGTCACTTTATTGCCAAATTACGTGAGCATCATTTGGGCAGCTGGTGTAGAGTAGCTCCAGTTAGATTGTCTTTTAGAAAGGCAAAGCAAGTTTCCAGCAACCTCAAGAATTGAGAGATTCACATGTGCAGTGCATATTGAATGACAGAAAATACCTTCCTATTCTCATATAAAAGAAAATCGGTTTAATCTTAGTATATTGTATATACAGAATTTGGCAACATTATGATGCGCCATAAACCGGACATTAACGTTGAGCAATAAACAGGCCATTTTGGTGTTGGAGACAGTTTTCAAAATTGTGCCAAGGCCATTCCGTATACTAGGATTTAACCACAAAATATTTTTTCTTTTTAATAAATGCCTTATTTGTCATTTTGCAGTATAATAAAAAAATAGTAATCAGTCATCTAGACTAACCTTTAATATAATTGTATTCGCCAAAGTATCATTGATTATTGTAATTCAGTTTTTAATCTTTAAGTAATTAACTTTATTTTAATGCTATTTGTATCATTTAATGTGGCTTCTTCCTTCCAAGTGTATTTATTATTTGTTAATAATACTTTCAAATTTTAGGCAATTTTCGCTGCCATACTCCTGAAACTAATTCTAGCAGTATGGATGACGTACCATCAGGAAATTTAATTAATTTTAAATACTGACAACATATTTTTTGCTTATGTATACTGCTAAATAAATATAAAATATCTGAATTTGTTTAAAAATATCATTAAATAGATTTCTTTTGTTTAGCTGCAGAATGTCTGCAAAAAAGACATTTTTTAATGTAAATTGGGCAGATTTTAGTCTCAATCATCAGTAGAGAAAACAACTCCTATTATAGTTATAATAGTAATACTTCTGGGATTATATGTATAAGTCATATGTAATTGGCAAATTTGTGAGTTTTCAAGCTGAACCATAATTTATCTCTCAGCACAGCCAATGCGAATAGACAGGAGTTGTCTTAAAACACACCTGGAAAAATCGGGAAATTTCATTCTCCTATTTGAGTGGCAACCCTCTTTATACCATTTATTTACAATGCCACCTAGCTGCTTGCCATTTGCATTCCGATTACATTCTATGACAAATATTGCTCATATAGCTGCCTTTTATCACTTCCTAAAGTTTTGCCCTCTTGTTCAGATTCATCCTGTGTACAGTCTAAGATATGAAAAGGAGCTCTTGACACACTTTGTTTATAGAAATATTTTCTCAACTGATATATCTCACTTGATATTGATAAGTGCCAGCCTATTTATAGTCATCAGGCTTATTTTGGGAAAGGAAATGCAAGAAATCGGCAGTGCTCTCATCTGGGCTCAAAGTTTGGACCTTCCTATTGCTAGTTGAATGTGCTTTCCAATTCCGCCATTGAAAGTAAGCTGTAAGAAATGGGAATGCTTCTTACACATTTAAGGTGGAACTAATGGAAATGTGATGTAATAAATGTAAAATAAAAATTCAGGGGAATAAGTATTGCTGAATTTTGACGAATACACGAACCTGTGAGGTTCCCAGAAAGCTACAAATTTGCATCATATGTGATTTTCATGTTCGATAGCACATACTAGTGTGAACAACTTTTTTCGTTTATGAAAAGGAGTTCACCAACAGCTGAGCGGTTAAAGTCGCTGAGCACTGGTAGTTCGGTCCATGGTTCGAATCTCAGCAAACAGGCTTTTTGCATGGGTGTTTTCATGCTTTTCCCCATATGTAACTTGTATGTGAGCCAGTTTTCCATAGAAAGTCCTCCACAAAGGGGATCCGTCCCCCTAGGCAGATAGCTCTCATGTTCTTTGCCGTAATCCATTAAACCAAACAAACTATGAAAAGGAACTTTAACTGACATTCATCTGTATTATAGTACAAGCAGCATTTCTATGGACATCCTAAAGCTTGTTGCAGTAAAAAGATGACAGGTGTTGGGAAGAAACAGTATTTATCATTTTCTAACCAAATTTCCTTATGTTCTTCATATTTTTCTTAACTACAGTATTAGTTAAAATATTATGTACTTACTTTTTAAATATACATCACTGAATATGAAAATTGTATTTTTCCACCTTACTACCTGCATACTGACAACTATTTGGCCCACTTGATATATCGAATTTGACATACCTGTTGTAGGATGTAAGATTCTTTTCTTGTTCTAAGCACTAGATATATTTTATGCATTTTACTTCTTCATATGAAAAAAATTACATATCACTAATGCAGCCATACACATATACATGTGTGTGCTTTAAGTAACATTTAATGTAGCTGGTTTTATGCAGCTTACTTTTACATATGTGACTTTAAACTAAAGTTTTTAAAATTACCTAAATTGATATTGATACTTTTTATATCAAGAGAGGAGAGCAGATAAGAACATTAAATTTATATCCCAAAGAATTGAAAAACATTAGCGGCCAAGCGGTAAAATCAATGAACACTGGTAGTTCTGACCTGGGTTCGATTCTAAGCAAACTGGCTGACTGCATGGTCATTTTCATGGTTTTCCATATGTGTAATGTGTATACGAGCCAGTTTCCCTTCAAAGGCATCCATCCCCGTAGGCAGACAGCCTTAGTGAGCTTTAATAATCAAATAAACCAAACTTGGAAAACGTTATTTTTATTACTTTTGGGAAGGTGAAGTGAAATAAATTTGTTTATTTAAATTTTTGTATGTATTCTGGACATATTCTTTTCAAAATAAATTTAAAAAAATTTATTTCAAGAGATTTAGATAGTATTCCTGGAGGTTTAGGTAACACTTTGCTTTTTTGAATAAAAATATTGGCTTTCTGTGATTCATAGAACTAAATCATAAATTTCAAATAAAATTTAAATTCGCGTTTTAAGGCTGAAATGTTTGTTTATTCTCCTCGCCGTTTTCAAAGTATTGCAAAATGGAAATAATGTGTATTACTGTTTGAACAAACAAACCAAAAACAGAATTAGAAGTTACAGAAGTTAAGCTATTATAGGCTGCTGGAAACTTATTTTATTATATTTAGAGTATAAAATAGGTCTTTTACAAAATGCTCAGCTCATATAAAATATCTTTTTAAATGAATAGCTTATTCTTTATAGAGGATTTCTTTGCAAAGCACTTTATAACGTTTAAGATAAATGATCATGTATATTGTCATGTGTCAATAGAATCAATTTATGGCAGACAAGATTTTATCTCAAACTGAAAACTGTTATTTTTGTCATCAGTTATTTTATTCTATTAAAACATTCACAAATAGTTTGATTATGTGTCTATGTTAAATTGCTAATCAGTTTTCTTTTTATGCAGCTGTGATAAAAAGAAATGTAAAGCATGTGACTCAAATAAGCTATCGAAGTCAAGTAGTCTTAATATTAGTGCTGCTGAGGTATCTTCTACCACCAATTGTGCTAGTGTTTTACCCTTAACTCCAGAAGATCAGAGTAGCTTGTGTTGTGTGCAACCATCATCTAAACAAAGTATGTTTGCATTTTTTTATTATGAAACTCAAAACAATATACTATTTTGAATTGAAAGTAATATTTTTTACTTGATCTAAAACCTGTAAGCAGTGTTGTAATTGCTGTGTAAGTTGTTTTAAACTATATGGAGGTACAATACCAAATTACTGCTTCTACCCAAACTGGAGTATTATCATTATGCTGAGGTTTGGACAGTTCTCATATAGATAAACTACAGAGTAACTTTGAAAGAAAGTCATCAGTGTATTAAAATAGGGGTCTTCAATCTGCAAGACCAGAATGGCCTGTCAAGCCTTTTCAATAAGTAAAAAATAAAAATGTCAATGCAAATGTCTAAAGTTCTTTGCTTTTTTAATTTTCCCTGTTAAGAATTTTTTTTTTTTTTTTTTAAATATTTATCTCACCCAGCTGATTTTGTTGAGGATCAGTGTATTTTAACCACACCACCATATTAACCTTGACTAAAATAAACACAAAAGAAACCACATTCAGGGTCTTTCTGATACCTGGAAAATGAATGGAAGTATTTTTCTGTCATTGTTGCACTCGGTAGGCAAAGGAACAAGTGGATGTAAATATTGCTATTATTTGCTGTTGAGCAGGGATTATACAGTTAAGATCCTGAAATTTCAGAATTGTTTTTAAATCTTCATTTGAATGCACAGTAGGAAGCTGTAATAACAGAAAAGTTGGAAGAAAAAGTGGTCATCTCTTTATTTATTTATTTATTATTTTTTTGTTCCTGTGAGCAAGAATTAGGCAGTTTACCTTATTTGCAACAAGACTGTAGCTGTAATTAAAGAATATAACATCAAGAGGCATCATGATACTAAGTAGAATAGGGAAGACATTTTTGAAGCGATGATGAATTAAAATCAAAACTGAATTATTATTGACAGTCTTGTTTTCTTCAGAGTCAGTAAAGAGTCCGAAAATAGTATTCATGTTAGCTGCATGATGGCAGAAAAAATTGTTAAAAGTGGAAAATCTCTTGTTGATGGAAGAATTTGTAAAAGAATGGCATCTGTGTGCAGTTGATGTGCTTTGTTCATAACAAGCTCAAGCTATTTTGAACATAGCATTTATCTGGTCAAACATAGCTTTGTTTTATTTTGTCTTATGTGACAATTAGTGAGATTCAGGAAGGATTTGGCGGTAGATATATTGAGTAATTAAAATTTAAATGTGGGGACTTGGTGTTTTATTCTGTAGCAATGTATGAATCAACTGATGTCAGATACCGCACAAGCAGCCATTTTTGTTCATGGCATTGATAGAAACTTCATGATTGTAGAGAAATTAGATAGTTTTTTTTTTTTTTTCCTCAAAGTTACAACACAAGTATCAGATTTGTATGAGTTTTTCAAAAACCTTGGCTAAATGTAAGTTAGACTTGGGCAGTGTATCTGCCATAACTACAGATGGTGCTTCTTCTATATCCATAAAGAAAACAAGATTCATAACATTGTTTAAATCTGATACAAAGGCATGCGGAAATATTACTATGATGGCTTTCCACTGTATCGTCCACTAAAAAAAATTATGTTAAAATGTCCTCAAACTTTGAAAAGTGTTGAATGTCGTTTTTGATGACTGTCATTAGTGAATTCAGGAAGGTTATGCGTGTTTGATGACTGTCATAAGTGGTGAATTTCATCTGCTCCAAAAAATGTGATCAGATGCAGTTTCGACAGTTCTTGAGTGATTTGGAAGCGGAACATAGTGACATTGTGTATTGCATGGAAGTATGTTGGTTAAGCTGAGGAAAGTTGCTTCATTGCCTGTTTTCCTTGAAGGCTGAAGATTAACAATTCTTTTAATCTAAAGGGAAATCTATGTGTGAGTTCTGTGATGAGGAGTGGTAAATACTTCTTTTCAGTGTTACTGGTCATCTTGATCTGAACTACTTCTTACTGGGGAAAGGTCTGCTTGTTTATAATCTTTATGACACTGTGGAAGGTTTTGAGACAAAATTAATCCTAATTAACTCAAATTGATGCAGTTAGTGAATAAAGCTACAACATGCAACTTGGGCGATTATCTACAGTGCATTTCAAATCTGAGAGTGGATTTAAAAAGCAGATTAACTAACAGCCGTGCGAATCAGACATCATGGTTCTCTGTAGGCATTGAAAATGTTCCCCTTGAATTTCTGTTATAATTTGCAGATTTGCAGTTTGTTGAAAATTTTTACGCTGATTTTTATTTCAAAGTGTGCATGCGAACACAAGTATTTGGGAACACATAAACATGCATTTATCATGTCTTTTTTCATTGGTAGTAGTTATGTACATAAACAGTTGTATAGTCAGTTGAAAAACACAAAATCAAAAGCATATCTGACAGATAAACAGGTGGAGGACACTTCAAGGGAGAAAAAAAATTACGAATCGCAACAAACAGATTCTACCAGATACTGAAACTTTATTAAAATAAAAACAACACGAAATTTCCCTTTAAAACTCTGTTGACTTCCATCCCACCAGGAATTTGAGTATTTTTATTGTCAGTGGATTTTGTAACATCATTGCACATTATGTATCAAGGCACTTCCATCGCTTTTTGTAATCTAAAAAAAAGTATGTTGTATGTTGATTCAACTTTTATTAAACTTTATTTTTCTGAAAAAAGAAACGCAAAATATTGGATATTATAAAAATTGTTAATCCCATCTGTCCCTTCAAAATTAATCGAAGGCTTGTATACCTCCCTCTCTTTTATAAATTTTCTACATATGCTGTTTATTTGACTGACATGTGGCCATCAGATCCATATGAATTTATTGAAGTGGGTTTCGGGCGTGAAAGTTTGAGGCCCTCAATATTAAAATGCGAACGATGTATATTTTATAAAGTGAGATGCAGAAATGCAGCTTTCTCAGAAAGACATGCTTTGCACCTTAAAATTGCGTTCATTTGTATAAAAGCTAAATAATAAACTTTAAGCATAACTTTGAAAAAATTTAGCTCGTAATTTTTTTTTAATTTAAATTTTTATTATGCCACTTTTTATTAATAAGGCAAACATTTCATTTCTTAAAATCTAATGTAAATAGAATTTGCTAGTTCATGGCTAATGTTGTTGTGTAAATTAATGTAATGATTTTAAATACAGGATCTCTAAGAATAAATGGTGGGATTTCGTGTGATATTTTTGAAGTATATATTATGAGAAATAGATTGAAATTGTTTTTATTTAAATCAGTTAGTCAGAAAGATGGTGAAAAAATAATAAGTTAAATGTTGAAGATATTAAAGGGCACATGCAATTAAAATGAAATTAAAATTATTTGTTTACATACTAAAAGCCTATTTTAAACACTACTAAGGTTGGAGCTTTTGCTGGTGCCCCATATTCTGGCTTGATCAAGTTAAGCTCTTATTATTGCTGTTTTTAGGTTGTTTGTATTTTTTTCTTATAATTGACATTCAGGTACATGACAGATTAAAGGAAAGATCTCTGTTGCAATATGATCCTGTGACAATTCTGTAATATTGTGAAGGCATTTATTAAGGATTTTAGCTTTGTTCTATTCAGCTACTTGAATATTTTAAAAAGTAACGAGTTTCGATATATGTACCGCTATCATGAATGAGAATATTATTTGTGCCTGGTATCTCTATTGTATTAGCATCCAGTTTGTCTTTTGTTCATAATTTTCAAGTGGATGGGTCTGGAGTTCATGGCAAGTCCATTTTTGCTAATGCATTTTCTTAAAAAACCAGTGATTTACTTGTCTCTTGCTCCCTTGTAAAATTCCTTGTTTCATGAACTGGTGCCTCTAATTGTTGACAAATGTCTGCAATTCATTGTCTTCCTTTTAGTTTACTCAATTTCAGGAAACAAAAATATGTGCAATTACATGTTCAAATTGGTATTGGTTTCAACCGAAAAAGGGACCAAAAATCTTATTAAGCATACCTCAAGAGACTTTTGAATTTGTTCATGTGTCAGGATTTTCAGAATGTGCACTGTGGTATGCTAGTGTATATAACAAAAACACATGCACATATTATTTTTGACTGACTAACAAATAAAAGCACTTTCAATGTATTTCACGTAATCAGTACTTCAGAGACCTCACAAAACCACTATTAATTGTCAGAGACCCCATAGTTTTAATTTTGATACTGAAATATTATATTAGTAAATTAAAAAATAAAAATATGGGGAAAATATTTTTTTAAAACCTGAAATATTTGATTTCTTTTAACTATAGATCGTTATACCAGCATTAACCATGGGACAACTCAACCACAGCGAAAGAATGTTATAAGTTGTGTGACCGTGCCTGATTCCGATTCTGAAGGTTATTACAGCCCTCTACAAGCACTTCCTCATTTCACTTCTACTGTGATTGGGAAAGTAATCAAACCTGAACCACAGAAGGAAAAAACAAGGTAAAAATATTAACTAGTATTGTTGATCTGTTCTCAATGCTGATCTGTAATTCAGTATCCAGAATATTCTAAAAAATACTGTTTTAAAGAAATTGCAGACCCAGGTGAAAAACTATGTCCATTTTTTGTGAAAATTGAAGTAATTATACCATCTAGCAGGCAATAAGAATAGCTTCTACATTATGAATTGCTTCAGGAGAAAAAGTATTCATGGTTGTAACTGTAACCGAGGAAAGATTTTACATACTGAGGAAAATTAATTTTTGGCCACATAAGAGAGAAAAAGCATTTATGTCCAGCTGCCTTTATCAAGCTTATTTCTTGTCTCTTGTAATGGCAGTCTGTTGGTTTCAACCATTAGCTCTTTAAAAGTGCTTGTGAACATGGAAAGTGAAGATTCAGGTGCAGGCTCTGATTCATTAGCCGAGTTGTCTGCCCGAAAGAAAGGAAAATATGCAATGTTGTAAGTTTTTAAGCAACCCCATGTGAGTAAGGACCTGATTTTTTGTTAATGCAAATGTTTTCAATATGTTTTTAGGGTTAATAGTGGAAAACAACAAATTCTCAAGCTTTTAATGAACTTAAAATTATAATACTCAAAATCATTATCTTTCCCATCTTGCGTGCTTTTGCTTGTAATGTGTGGACATTCTTGTTTGGAAATAAGGGCTTACACAATGCGTCTTACTCTTATTGAGTATGTAGTTTCCAAGATAAGCAGTGTAATTATGTGCAAGTTTGTATAAATGCCTCTGCTTCATTCCATGGCATTACATAAAATTATTAAATAGTAGGAGAAACTTTCAGGAAACAAAAATATGTGGAATTACGTGTTCAAATTGGTATTAGTTTCAACTAAAAAAGGGATCAAAAATCTTATTAAGCATTCTTCAAGAGACTTTTGAATGTGTTCATGTGTCAGACTAAGATTTTCAGAATGTGTACTATGGTATGCTTATGTATATAACAAAAACACATGCACATATTATTTTTGACTGACTAACAAATAAAAGCACTTACAATGCATTTCACATAATCAGTACTTCAGGAAGACTGTTGATGAAAAAGCAGTGATAGACTGCAGCAAAAAACATAAAAACAGGAAACGTGCAATTTCTGGAGAAACTGTTTCTAAAACAATCAAGTTTATCAGCTTCCTCAAAAGAAGAAAGTCTTATTGTTTCTTAAAAAGGAACTACTAAGAGAGTTAAACATCATAAAATTCCATGTGTATAAAACAAACAATCCATATAGTCCAGCATCGTATGGCAGAGTTAGAGATATTTTAAATTTCAGGTTGAACATTGACTTAGATTTCTCAAGAAAAGTCATTTGTAGTCTTTGTGATACATTAAAAGCAGAGATTGATACACTTGTCAAAAAATTAGAAAAACTTGTTGAAGGACAAGAAAAGGCAAGCTTATTCAACATCTGAAAAGTAAAATGATGGGAAAGAAAACTTCATTTGAGGGAGAGACAATTATGACAGTGATGATGATTTGTATTCTCAAGATTAACAGAAGAAACTAGAAGAAAAAATTTATCTTCCTAAATAAAATAGAAATTTTGTATATGCAGTATCCGGCACTATTAAAATCACTTCCGTTCCAAACATATATGAGTTGATTAAGCAGTTGAATTTAATAGGTGGCTGGCTATTTGTGTATTGCAAATGGTGATATCAGTTCTAAAATTTTCAGATAAAACAAACTAACAGCTAATTAAGTAATTAATGCATAAAAATAACTGAAAATTAATGTTAAACTAAACTCTTTATACAGTTTTGAAATTCATTTGTAATTTTTTTATAAAACTATTTTTATAATGTTTTTCATGAATGAAAATTAATGCTAAAACTAAACTCTTTAAGCAATTTTAAAATTCATTTGTAAATATTTTTATGTTCTTTATGAAATTTTAATGATTATTCTGTGTTTGTTTCACGTCCTTCAACAATAGTATTTCAGTTGTATTCTCAGTTTTGTAAAACTGATGATAGCTTTTCTGACCAGCATACCAGCATTTTTGACTTCAAGGTCTTTTTTTTTTTTTTTTTTTTTTTTTTTTTTTTTTTTTTTTTAAGAATTTTGAAGTGCTTGATTGATGTTGGCATATCATCCCTTTTTTCTGTTTCACTTTCACTGTCAGTTTCTGAAGTCTTTTTAAGACTTTCATAAGTCCGTTTTTGTACTCATTATTTCAATATTTTTACAAACTAATGCATATTATAAAAATGAATCTTCATAAATTCTTTTACTGATGTCCCAAACTTGAGCTAATGCTTGTAATTTCTCTTTCTTCTATGTAGCCGCAACTGATTTTAAGATATCATCACCCTGAACTGACATATAATATGCATGTACTCTAGAAGAGACATTTCTTATCTCTGTAGAAGTGCTTGCATGTTCACAAAATTCAATTCTGCGTAATTTTCTTAACATCTTTTATGTAGTGACATTTGAACGCTTTTATATTTTTATCTGAAGGCTGAAAATTAGAGGCTGTATTTGCAAAAAAGCAGCACTAATGTTTTCAGAAAAATATCAGAAATGCGTGTGTTGCACAGTTAATCTAATTTACAGTTAATCTCTTAGTAAATTTTTTTCAGTTCGCTTTTTCATGCAAAAGAAAATTTGTAGTAATACTACTTGTCATCACTGTTGTCAAATCGTGTGATTTTTCGTGAATTTGTGACAAACTTGTGCCACTAATATTTTAATATGTGATTTTGTGAAATTTCTGCGACCTCCATCATTTCCTAATGCTACTTCTTCAACTTCAAAGATTTTTTAATATATCATAAAATGCTTATATGTTAAATAATGCATCAATTAAAAATAAATTTAAAAAAAGTTTATTTAGGCTTAAATAGAAGTTGGCATCTGGCAATCCTGTTTGTTAGTGGGCTTTCCTTTTCAAGGCTGAAAAGCCTAACACTGTTAGGGGGAAAGAAAGAAAAAAAACTGCTTCAATGACCTCCACCCTCTGTCCCCCCCTGCATTTTATTTTTCAGTCATCCTCCCCTCTCAGTTCTATGGTGATAACGAATTGAACAAAAGAGCTTGCAGCTTGCGTGCTGTACATTGGGTACCCAAACAGAGAAAGAAACTAAATTCATTCTCCTGATTATAATATATCCAAGAACTAAGCAGTGGAAATGACCTAAAAATCAAAGCAACAAAAATGTAACAGTGAAAGAACAATGGAGGTTAAATATTCAGAATCTGAAGTAAGCCCAACAGAAAACTCGCTGAAAAACATTCCTCAATAAAAATGTTCACAATCAAGCAAAAAAACAATGAATTAAAAAAATTAACTGCCACTCAAAAAAATTAGTACAAAAGCGCTAACAATCTAGACATGAGGAATCCCTTAAGAATGTATATGCACAAACTAATTTAAAAATGGAAACCTAAATTAAATGAGAATTAATTAAAATGAATTAAAAATCAACACAAATTCGTGATGATGTCAGAGGTCATGTGAGCATTTGTAACTATGACGTCACAAAAATCACGTGGTCTCTGACTGATATAAAAGAAGTTTTTCATTGTGATGACAATGCTTCTCAATCATCAATCAATCAGTCAATTAATGAATGGTGAAATCTGTAGTATGATTCTAGACCCAGAAACTACTGCTACCGATAGTGAAAAAAATGACAGAGAAGTTACTAAACAAGAAAATTTCGATTGATAAGTTAGTCGGAATTCTTGAAATAGCAATTACAGGACTTCAACAATGTAACTGAATAAGAGATTATGTCTGTCTACAAAATTAAAGAGAAAGTATTAGCACTAAAAATGAAGCAACTTACATTGAAAGAAATATTTAATAAAGTAAACAAATAAGTTTTTTTTTTTTTTTTTTTTTTTTTAAATTTTGATACCCTTTAGATCATAAATACTTCATTATTTCATAAATCATGATTTCATATTTTTAATGTTATAATTTCTGCATGCCATCTTACAATATTTAAACTGATGTTCTAATATCTGGAAAAATCCCAAATCAGACGACTTCGGATTTCGAACTTTGTACTGTATAAATCTAATATATATCCTAAGTCACGCTTTTGAATTTCGCCAATCGGCCCAGTAGAACGGAAGATATAGAACTACCGCCCTTTTTTTTGGGTGCAGTGTATTTGTTTTAAAATATGTTTTAAAAATTGCATTGTCTAAGTTTGCTTCTTCATTGTGTGAATGTTTCAGTATTTTCTGCATATGTTAACTTTGTTTCAACCTTAATGTTAACTTTGGTTCAGAATAATGTTATTTTTTTTTTAAACTTCTGTGAGGAATATAATTTAAAGTTTTAGAAATATTTTCTCTTTATTTACTTTTAAATGATTATGTGTAATTTGCTAATCTCTTTAATAGTACCCAAGCAACTTCTCAAAAGAAAAGACTTCTGGCAAAAGTCCAATCCCAAACTGACTCTGAGGAACAAACACAGTATACTAGACGTAATTCTCTGATAGTACCAACAAAACAAGAAATAATAGCTGAAGATGAATATAATGAACAGCCTCATTCCTCAACAAATAATTATCCAGAGAGCAGTCATGTGCAAACAAGTGCATCTCCTGGGCAACTAATTTCATTGCCAAGTCGTTATATAGCGGCCGGCACTGAGAAAGATACATACCAGTATTATTCAAAACAACAAGTGCAGAATCTAGAAGGCGAGAAACTTATTAAATGTAGCAGTTCCCCTCTTCGTAACAAAGAGGTAAGTTGTCTTGTTAAATATGCTTTAGAAAAGGAAATTTTTAAGGTGTTTAATATATATAAAAATAAGGTACTTTTCCGTTTTGCCGGCGCAAGCAATAAAGTCGCCAATAATGGTACAACCGATGCCAAACAAATTTCTTGCTGGTAACCTTTTTACGCCTCATTTCAAAACAAGTCGCAGTTTTTTTATCAGACTGATTGTTTCTTTCAAACTGGCATATTCATATAATTTTTATCAGATAGTTCAGTTTATGTCTAAGGCCTTTTTGGTAATTAAGTCATTAAGATGCAATCACAGCGCTTACCCGAAAATAAGAAAAGTCAGGGTTAAATTTATCCATTCTAAGGAAGCTTTGTGAAGTAAGCACTGCAGTTTTACCTAATTTTTTGAGTAATCTATTCGTACACATTGAAATATTTCTGCATTTAAACTTGCGTTCCAAATTAAGATTTACATGAAAATTTGTAGATAATTACTGAGCATTAGATTTTTGTAGGTAGTTTACGTGAGATAGATCACTTGGGGTCACGTGATGAACCGCAAATTAGAATGTTGACATGAAAGCATAGTAATTCTTAAATTAAGTCTTTTTACAATTTTTATTGGCTTTTATAAAGTTTTAAGCAATATTAAAATGTTTATGCCTTCAAAAAAAGAATTCTTAGAACTAAATTTTTTTAAATATTTTTTATGTGTATACTTTATGTTGTCGCCAATAAAGTCTGCTTGGCGAGATTTGTGCTGGCGAAACGGAAAAGTACCAAAAATAATTAAATGTACTTATAAAAGAATTTATGAAGTACCTAAATTTTGTTGAAATTGCTGTCATTTGATTTCCAAATTCGATTTGAATTGGTGATGGTATTTCATAAAAGTATTATACACACACTCGTGTAAAATTAAAAGAATTTGCAAATTATGTCTTATTTTCATGAAAAGTATTGAACCCAAACTAAATTATGTCATAGAAGAATTATGCAAATTTTAAACACACAAACATAGACATGCATGCCTGCGGAGCTATAAGCACACGAATGGTTTTAGCCAGTTTATGTGCTCATACTCCTTGATAATATTTGCTGTTTCTCACAAGAGTTGGGTAAGTTTTATGAGTTAAAATACGTAGCCATGAGTGTATGGGTGATAGATTGACATGGTAGATCGGAGGCAGGCCAATCACAAGTGCAGGTTGTTACAGGCTCAATATAATGCCCATTATCATCTGCAATTTGTGGAAACAATTTCAAGACATATCAAAAAGACCTGGGCAAGGTTGACCTAAATCAGCAACAACTGAGGATCATTTAGTCATTGTGAAAATATGTAAATCAAAATTATAACTTAATTTAGAAATAGCCCCTTAATTACTTATTTTAATTTAGGTATTTTCCCTCTCAATTCTAGCAATTGCAGCTGTTTGTAACTTTTCTTTACTGCATCATTTCTAGATTAATCTGTATTAAATGACTTTTACATAATGCTGTGATGAAAATAGCTTGCATAAGCCTTCAACCAATAATCATTTTAGAGCTTTGTTAACTATATGATCAAAATGAAATTGAAATCAAAACTAACCCACTCTGAATTGAGATTTTGCCCTGAACACATCTTACTTTGCTACTGTTTCTGTTGTTGCTAAGACACTGACATGCTTACTGCAATAGTATCAAAAATGTAAACGTTACTTTTCGAATAGCATGGTTAGAGTGACAAAATATTTAACTAAAATAAGATTTATATTTAGAAGGTCTGGCATGACTGCAAGCTTTTATTATTTTGTGCTTGAAAATTAAGCTGCGTCATAATGTGTATGCATGCATGTGTATGTGAGAAAGGAGAGAAAGATAACAAATTACTAACTTACTTGGCTATAGCTCTTTTAATTCCTAATTTTAATTTAAATACAGCCCCCTTCAAAGCATCTATTCTGTGTCACTGACATGATTAGTCTTCTGCAGTATCAGCATTCCTGAAAGCCTTTGCTCAATCACTGTTCAGGATTCAAACAAAGAATTTCCGAATTATAAACATCACTGCAACCAACTATGCATCCTCTTTTGCTGCTTTCTCTGCATGAAAAAACCCACATCACTGTGCTTGGCTGTGTCCTATATTATTTCAAATGTAAGCACTGTACTTAGAAATTGTGGGCTGCTTATACCACTCCAGCATTGCATCAATTAAGAATATAAGCCAAGAAATTAACAATGTGATTGCAAAGATGTATCAAGATTCTTCAGGAATAAATTATGTGTTTAACATGGTGCATATTTCTGCAACTCCATATTCTGTCTATGCAACAGTTTGAAGCTAAGCTAACATGTACAATAATTTTATCGATCACACACAAATGAAACTGACAAACAAATGACCACACACAAATGAAAAAACAATTTGTATCTACAATAAATTGTATCGATCACACACAAATGAAACTATATATATCTAGCTTCATTAGAAACTAATTAATAAAGTTAAATAATTCTCTTGTGCTTAAATTTCTTGAATAATAGCTGGCCTATTCAGTAATTTTTAAATATTTGAGCATAAAACCTGGCTTAGGAGCATTGGAAGATTGTGGGAGGATGTGTCTCCAGATACTTTAAAACCTGATTGGCATAATATATGACCAGCTAGCCTATTTCATGGTGAGGATGATGATGATGATGATAGCCACAAATGTGAAGGTTTTGGGGTATTGCAAGCCAAAGGTTAAATTTTCCAATTAATGGATTTTTTAAAGAAATCTGGGGAAGCGGTAATAAATGAAGGTGATATAACAGAAGTTTTTCGTTGCAATGACAATGCCTCAATTAGCAATAAATTAACGGATGTCAAAATCTGTAGTATGGTTCTAGGTCCAAGAAATACCACTACCGATGGTGAAGAAAGTGACAGAGAAGTTACTGAAAATGAAAAAATTTTGATTGACAAATTAGTCAGAATTCTCAACACAGCAATTACAGAACTTGAACAATGCAACTTTGTAAACTGAAATGAAATTATGTCAGTCCAACAGAATTAAAGAGAAATATTAGTGCAAAAAATGTACCGTAAACACCTAACATTGAAAGAAATGTTTAATAAAGTAAACAAATAAATATTAAGTTTTATTTTCTAAATTTTGATACCTTTTAGATCATAAATGCTTTACTATTTCATAAATTGCGATTTTCACTTTTTTTTTTTTTTTTTTTAAATATAATTTGTACATGCCATCTTAACAAGATTTAAACTGATGATCTAATATCTTGAAAAATCCCAAGTCCAGAATCGGCAAAGTCCCTACGAGCCCAGATCTCGGACTTTGTACTGTATTAATCCCCTCTTTTTTTTTTACGAATGAGACGAAGAAACAGAAATTATATCCTTTTTTACAAATATTAAATCAGTTTATTGAGAATTAGTTGAGTTTACATAAAAACCAGGTGAAATTCCTATGATTGCGTTGTGGTATCATGCTTATCCATTTTATGTGCTAAGTCACATTATTTGGTGACAATGTATACATGCTAATAAAATAATTAGCTCTATCTAGTTGACAGAAAAGTCATGACAAATTTTTCCCATATTCTTTGAAGGTCCTTTATTTTATATAAAGATCATGTAATAGTATATTTACAGCTTTATCTGAATTAATGTTACATCTTGAAAGAAATTTTTAAGAGAGTGAAACAAGTTAAAAATCTGAAGCAGAATATCGGGCGAGTATGATATTGTGTGTGCTCTCATGTTATCAGGATGGAATGCAGTTCCTCTACAATTAAATTTATGAGCTCTTTAAGTTTCTGGAAGATGGTCTCACTGAAACTGTCCAGTTGGTGACAGCACATATTCGAATTGATATGTTTACTTGTTGGTATGAACTTCGAAACACGAACACATAGATGTTTGATCACCAACAAAAATTATTGGAGTATGAAAGAAAAAGTGTTGCTATGCATATCATACTCGTCTGATCTTATGCTCTCAGACTTTCACTTGTTTTGCTTGCTTCAAAATTTCTTTCACTGTATAACATTTAATTCACATAAGGCCACAAATCAACATTTTGTTTAGCTCTTCACCAATAAAGCTAGGTTCTTTTGTAAATGAGGAATTATTAAGCTCGTTAAAATAAAGTAAAAGTTATCAAACAAAACAGGCAATATGCTATTGACTGATATTATTGTTCTCTATATAAATCAAAAGTAAAGGTCCTTTGAAGAAGTAGAAAAAATGTATCATGCTTTTTCAGACAGCCCAATATAATGGTGCTGTTACAAATATCTCTTTCTCTCTCTCTTTTCTCTCTCTCTCTCTCTCTCTCTTTTCTCTCTCTCTCTCTCTAAAATTCTAAAATATTCTGGTTACTTGAGCTTTCTAGTTAGTTGAATGCCAGATAGTTAGGCTTTTACTTCGCATATGTATGTACACATATTTCTGAATTTGATCCTGATAACAGAAAAGTACTAAAATTTTTTACCTATTTACTAGATTTATTCAGATATTTATTAAAATGGCTATACTTGCAAAAAATTTACAAAGTTTCCCATGTGCAAAGTCATATGAAATAATTTCTCCTTGTGTTGTATTAGTGGCCAACAATTGATTTTTAAAAGATATGGCATCCTTTTGAATTCTGAGTTCCCTCGGAGACTGCTGGAAAGATGGCTATAAAATTCATCAGATATTACAGGATAATTTTATCAAATTTGTAACATGACAAGAAATCTAAGTCAAAAACCTATACATTTTGCATTTTTAATTTACATATGGGAAAATTAAAATGGAAGTTATTTTTTGTTTTTATTATTCATAACAGACTTTTATTTGAAACTTATTACAGTTTAAGTATAAAACATTGGAAGTAATATAACTACAAACAAAGTCTTGGGAAAGATATATTTCAGGGTCCCCTTAGCGAAAATTGGTGATTCCCTCCCACCGCTATTGTTAACATGCAACACCCTTCCTAATAAAATGGTGCCCAAAACATAATTAAAACATAAAAAAAGTATAATCTCAATAAACTACATTTGAACTTCTTGATGGCAATTATGCGGAGAACAAAGTGCAGCCATGGGACAAAACCCTCTGAAACGAAACGTCGCCACTGGCCCATGCTTATTCAGCAGTTAAGCGTACTCTTAAATTTATTAAAAATTTCATATAAAATCAGCATTTTAATATAACGATCTCAATTTTTGAAGTTACATACTTAATATACTAATTATTGATATGTTTTAATATAAAGAATATCACATATACTAATTATTGATATGTGTTAATATAAAGAATATCACATTAATAGAAATAAATGAAATGTGAAATATTAAAATTATAAGTACATAGCGTATTCGGAAACTAAGTACCATTTCATTCTAGCACCGTCGCAGCGCTATGGTAGTGTCCCGCGCATGCATGGTGCGTCCCGCGCATGCGCAGCAGTCTTTCTTGTTCGCTGACTTTTCAATTGTCACCATTTTGGTTGCTCTATGTTGTGTTTTCAGTTTGCTGTGCACATTTAAAATGTTTAAGACAATTAGTTCTCCTGCTGACTGTGAGATTCGTGCTGTGATTAAATTTTTGAACGCGAGGAATGTTAAACTGGCCGAAATTTATCGTCAATCGAAAGGTCAGGGAATTCGAAAATTGGCTAAAAACATTAGGGAATTGAAATATTTTTGTGAAAATGTAGAAAAGTCGGGAAATTTCATAAAGCAATCCCACAAAAAAGCGATTATTATGTCAATATTGGAAGCAATCACTTTCTTGGCAATTTATCGCGTTAGCGTCATTTGGCCGTGGACGGTATAAGAGAGTTCCATACATTCAGGCAGCTGGCGTAGAGCCAATTTTCGCAGCTCCAGTTAGATAACTTTTTAGAAAGGCAAAGCAAGTTTTTAGTAACTTCGAGAATCAAGAAATTCACTGCTTGTTTGAATGAGAGAAAATACTTTCCCATTCTCATATAAAACAAAATCGGTTTAATCCTAGTATATGGTACGCATGAATTTGGCAACATTGTGATGAGCAGTAAACCTGACATTTATGATGAGCAGTAAGTGAGTCATTTTTGTGTTGGCAACAATTTTCAAAATCATCCAAGGCCATACCGTAGACTAGGATTTTACCATAAAATCTATAAAACCTCTTTTTTTTTTTTTTTTTTTTTAATAAATGCCTTATTTGTCATTTTGCAGTAAAATAAAAAAAAATAGTAATCAGTCATGTAGATTAACCATTTAATATAATTGTATTCGCCAACATATTGTTGATTATTGTAATTTAGTTTTTAATCTTTAAAATTAACTTAATTTTAATGTTTGCAAAGTTTGTGCTGAGCATTTTTCTTTTGACTGTATGTTATGCAGTGTAGTTTATGTTGTGAATTTAGATTGAACTAAAGTTTTTTTTTTTTTTTTTTTTTCTTTTTTTAATTTATTTGATTCTACAAATGCATGTTTTCATTTGAGACCAACTTTCTGAATTTGGTTACACTTTTTCTTTAATTACTAAGAATTTTTTAAGGGGAACCTTTAATATAGTGCAGTTTGAATGTCATTCTCAAAACTTGCTTTATTTTTAAGCAGAAAAATGTGGGAGCATGCAGTACTCATGTAAATAGCAGAGGAACTACTTCTGGGCGTCATGGTCCAAGTGTAACATCTGCCCATCTATCACCTCTGCAACATGTTGGTCAACCTTTGTACCTGACAACTCAACCAGATTTATACAGGTATTTGTTTTTAAATGTTATAAATAATATTTTTGTGTTAAGTCTTATACCTGTAGTTATGAAATCTGTAATTACGAGAATTGCATTTGTAGTGGTCTTAAAAGTCTAAAATGGTTGCAAATTGCAAAAAATTGAAATTCTTAACCTAGTGCATCGGAGCTCTTTGCCGGTAGTGGTAAAGAATTCAACTCGCATATAACAGATCCAGGATCTAATTCCAAGGTCATTATCATCCTCAAGGGCATGTGAAACTCGTGTGCTACTGCTCTTCTTATTGGTGCTAATAGATGGAGATACGACCAGGCAATTACATACCAAGCAGCATCGAGCAAGATACCATGACGTGGTTGTGACAGTGGTGACCCAAAGAACTGCACACACTTCCTTCCCACAAATCACGCACATGCAGGTCTGATAGGCAATGTAACAGCCGATAAACTTGCCAAAAAGGGAAGTAGCAACATAAACGCTAAAGAAATCAATATTCCAGCACCTCCCTCTTACTTGAAAAAGGAGCTGCTTCAAAAAGCTACCCTAAAATGGCAACAGAAATGGGACATAAGTAATACCGGTAGACGTACATACGATTTCTTCCCAAAAATTAACCTTCAAAGACACGTGTCTGTCCCACAAATCACCGACTTTGTCATGGGTCACGGACCGTTTCCTGTTTATCTCCTTCGCTTTTTCATTTCCGAAACTGCAACCTGTGTCTGCGTAGCAGATGGCTCCCCAGACACTACGTCTATCAATGCCCTCTCACCAATGCCACTCACCTACATCAGTGCTTCAGCGATGCAGGCACTCACAGATGCTTTATTGCACAAAATCGTGTGACTGTGCATAAGATGTGTCAGATTATTGTCATGATTTCAGCCCTGGGACTGGACATCTGCCAAGTCATATAAGGCCCATATCACATGGCATTTGTTTCACACAAACAACTGTTTGGGACAATTTTTCTGCATGGTTTACTATTGAAAGAAAGACGCGCGACTTTTTCCTTCCTTTCCAAAATAATTGCAAGTTGTTCGTCTTCAACCAATCAGCTATCAGCTTCGAATGCTGTCAGCTTGTTTGTAATGGGGAGCCAGTTTCCTCTGTGTTATCCCCAAAGCGATCTATAGTGATTGGCTGTTGTGATAAAGCAGAAAAATTGTTCCAAACAGTTGTTCTTCCGAAACAAACCAACATGTGATAGCAGGCTATGACTTTCCCTCCCTCAGCTGTCTCTTTCCCATTTCACTACTTATTTATTTTTTTTTTTACATATTTTTTACTTATGTACTTTATATTGCACTATTTATTGTAATACTTTTATGTTCTCTGTTATATTTACATGCATTTCAATATGTTTCTTGCATCCTCTGTTCCCAAATCTGAAGCCATTGTATAGCCACCTAGCCCCTGTAAGGCCATGTTTCTCACCCAACTCCTTTAATTCTTCTATAAGCTCTGGATAGTGAAGGCCGAGGGGCATGCACTTGCTTACCTTCAGTAGACGCCAGGTGCCCCAGTTTTCCGGCACCTGCCCAATGGCCGAATTGCTTTCTTTTGTGTAGAAACTCTTAATTTTAATTGCAATTTTTTAAACTATATTTGAAATTTTAGGTTTTTTTGTTATTTTACAATTTTTAATGAAGATGGCTTTAGTTTTTATGTATTTTTTGCTTGCCATGAAGTGAGAACTGAATTGATTGAATGAGAAATATATCTCTAATGAAATTCAAGGAAGTAACTTTAAATAAAGTGCAGCAAAAGATGTGAGTAATTTAATAGACCGTATAAGGAAATCATCTAGTGTTCAGATTAAATTTGTATTGTTTTGAGAAACAGCATTTTTTTAATTGCTATATTTTTTGAAATATTTAAATAGTCTACAGTAATATGCTTAATAAAGGTTTTTTTTATATTAAATATGTTTTAACTTATTTCCCTGAAAATTAAGCTGCATCTTATATTAATTGTTCTAAAAAGTACATTAGAACTTAAGAGATATTTTACTTTTTGAAACACAGCAGTCGACATTTATTCACATACAGAAATTTACATTATTCAGGTACTGTTATGTGGTTATAAAAAAGTTCCCAATATGAACTGCTAATGGCCTCTTCACTCAACCAGTTGAAATCAAATTTCAGTTATTGTTATTTGAAGATATGCACTCGAGATTGATTTAAAACAATAGAGCTTTGACTATTATGATTACAGTAAAAAAATATCAAAGTTTTCGAAAGCCAACACCCACTTTTCCTTGTGCAAATTGACCAGTGCACTGAAAAACCAACAACATTGGAACAGCATTGGAACGATACAGATATAACGGAAATTTCTGGTATTAAAACGGTATTAAAAATTTTTAAAGAGCATGGTAAAGAACCATTGGACTCGTCTTTTGATAAAGGACCATTGAACTCGTCTTTGAAGACGTCGCTTCCGAGTATGAAAACGTGCTTGATCACAAGTTCTTAGTATACAACAAATGTTGTTAAAGACTTTGTATTGATGCAAGATGTGCTCCTCCACAGGCGTTCGGCAAGTGCTGCAATTGCATGTTGGTGAGTCATCTCCCGTAATTTTGCAATTTCTTGGCCAACGCGATCTCCCAACCTGCCTTCGGTAAGTGGGATCTATCTGCAATCTAAGTCTTCACGTTGAATCTAGAAGATTTTTCAGAATTAAAAGAGGATATAAGGTATCAGGCTATGTTCTAATCATCAATTTTGACGAAATTTTCCAAAAAAATTCTGTTAATTTATTGTAAAGCGTATACATTAAGATTTCCAGAACTACTTTATATCTCCAGTCAGCGGAAGCAGAATTATGACTGTTCTTATTCTATGCTGTGAAATGGTCTGTTTAAGAATTGGAAGCTTATATCTAAAGGTAAAGAGACTACTCTAAATAACTTTAAAATGAGAAAAAGGCAATTTTGATGTTCAAAGTATGTTCAAAAGGCAATTTTGAACCTTTCTATTTTTTTATTAAATATTTGAGAACAAGATTAATTTTGCAATTTTCTTTACATACTTTTAAAAATTTTCTTTTCCTTCTGTTTATGTTTGCATTACATTAAACCTACATTTTAAAAATCGTAATTTTTTTCAACTTTTCTGTTACAAAACTTTAACTTAACACTGTATCTACCACTAGCGATTCAACAGCATATGCACATCCAACCAGCCACTCAGCCGCAGATTCTCGCTGCCATCACTTTTGCCACCACTATCACTTCCTGAATAACTGTCAGGACAGTCTGATAAATCATCTAAATAAAACTCACCAGGACCTTTTTTTTTTTTTTTTTGCTCATTATGAACGGTAATTTTTTTAAAAACGATGTGAAAATGTAGAGTTTATGAAGCAACGCACTTAACGCAAGTGAGCAATATACCTCAATACTAATAATAAAAATGCAGATGATATAGCAAATGGCAATTGTTTATCGCCATGGCTATCGGTCAGTGGGCGTTGGAGATAAAAAAAACAATTAATTAATAGGCAATCGGTCGGTAAAGTGTTAAAATCTTTCTATAGTAATTTTAAGAAATTCTCCACAAATATTCTATATAAAATATAGTGAATTAAATGGAGTAAAAGTTTAGGTTTACGTACACATCTAAATATTTTTCGGACAATTACGTAAATGAAAAGCGATTTAACAAATTATAGCTAATGCATGTACTGAAATTGGTATATTGAATAGAAGACATTTTACTTAGATTTTGGTCCATTTAATTCCTTAATAAATATAAGTGACAAATATAAAAGTAAAATATTGAGAAATATTTTTATGGCAACATTTCTAGTTATCCAGAAATTTAACACAGTTTTGTACAAAATATAAGAAAAATTAATACTTTGACAATATACTTATCACCTGTTTTTATCATTTTAAGTAGTATTCTGTGCTAAATAACACCAATATTAGATTTATTTGTACTATTTTCCAAAATTTGGTTGTCGAACATAGTCTTATACCGTAAAAAGTGAAGTTGTACATATTCCTCTTGCAGTGTTACATTTGTCATTATTGTCATGCGATTCATTGTTGTAAACAATCTCTTGTGTGCAATGCATTATCGTTTTCAAAGGTGGGCGGGCACATTGAAAACTTAAAATTCCAATAAGGGTTTTTTCCGCCTTTCCTCGACAGTTTTTATCATACATGTATCGTTCCAACACCACCTGTAGTTTTTTCCAATGCACTGATCAATTTGCACAGAAAAAAGTGTATATTGTCATTTGAAAACTTTTCCCTGTAATCGTAACTGTAAAAGCTGTATTGCTTTTAATCATCACAATCTCGAGTGACCTTGAAATAACAATATTGGAAATTTCTTTTTTGATTGGTTGAGCAGCTAGGCCACAAAGGGTTCTATTGGGGAATTTTTTATGATCCCTGTAGATTGTTGAGCACCCCTCTGGTCAAATTTCATTTCAGATCCTTGATCCAAAAACACTGCAGATTCATTAATAGCAGTCGTATTGTAGTAGAGTACATACCTTGAAATAACAACATTGGAAATTTCTTTTTTTTATTGGTTGAGCAGGTAGGTCACAAAGGATTCTATTGGGGAATTTTTTTATGATCACCCTGTAGATTGTTGAGCACCCCTCTGGTCAAATTTCATTTCAGATCCTTGATCCAAAAACACTGCAGATTCATTAATAGCAGTCGTATTGTAGTAAACAAGTATTGCAGTCGTATTGTAGTAGACAAGTAAAAAATAATTTGAATTTTGCCAGTCAGCTCAAAATGTGAGATATAGAAATGTTTCTTTCCCCCCTCCCACAGTGTACCTTACAAAACTGACAAAAAAATTGCAAGCACAAAACTTGGAAAATATTTTTTAAATTTCACATTACATTAGCCATTTGCTACATTAGTACATCTGTTACAATACATGACATATTGATTCTAAGTAGGAACATTAACTATATGTTATCTGTTGTTGGGCATAATTACTGCCAAATAACAGATAGTCGTTAACATATAT